AGTTCTTGGTTCCATAGCTGCCAGAACATTTGCTCTACTTTTCAGGCATCTCTACAGTATTTTCCCCCACAGTCTCCAGGGTGAAATGCATATTTGCATTCCAAGTCATGCTGAATGGGAAAACCTTAATGAAAAAGGCCACTAATCACAGATACATCAGGAAATATACTATAACAGTATTGTCACCGCTGTAGCAGGAAGGCATGGTGAGCCTTCCTGGTTATTGTTTCCTGGTTATTGTTTAATGTTGTTTTGTGATAAATGAACAGAGTTAAAATTGGTAATGATGAAACTGTTTCATCATATTTCTCTTTCTCGTGTGTGTGTGTGTGTGTGTGTGTGTGTGTGTCTAGACCTCTTCTTTCCCCAGCATCCCTCTCTAATTCTCCTCCCATTCAACATATCAGTCTTCTTTCTCATTCATTTCAGTTATTTATTTGTATTTATTTTGTATGTATTTTATTTATTTGTATTTTTAGTAGAGATGGAGTTTAACCATGTTGGTCAGGCTGCTCTTGAATCCTTTACCTCAAGTGATTCTCCTGCCTTGGCCTCTAAAAGTGCTGGGATTACAGGCATGAGCCACCATGTCCAGACTCTCTCATTTATTTCTGTCCAGGGATTAAGTATTACTAACAAGATGAACTAGGCTGAGTCAGCCATAGTGAATCCAGATCCTAAGATAACCTCAAAAAACAAGCAGATCAGGGCAAGGACTGGAACCTAAGGGCTAATGATTTGTCATTTTCCGAAGTCTGAAGTTCTAGGTATTTTTCCAAATTCTGCCTGAGGATTTCTATTGCAATTATGCATTGCTGCTCTGCCAGACAGCTGCAGTCAGCACCTTTGGGCTCACTTGGTTTCTGACCTCCCTTGGTTTTGGACCAGGCACTAGCCCTTGAGGAAAATTCAGACTCCTTGAAGGTGGTCTCACAATCCCACACTCATTCTAATCAATGTTGCCACCCCTTCTACCTACTCTTTTTTCCAAACTTTGTCTGCTGCCCCTACACATAAGGACACTGACGATAACTATGCTTTCAGGAGGAAAGGCTTGGTGGGAATTATAGGGTGTTATTATTATACAGTATAGGGTAATTGTTGCTTTTATAACCTGCTTCAAATAATGTTTTTTATTCAATACATGACATAGTGAAAGGGGATCCTTAAAGATACTTTGATTTAGCACACTTTATGCTCAAACTGGAAAAAACAAAGCAGCAAGGCCTTTTATAAGGCTGTGTATTATAATAATGGACTTCCAAAATAGCTCAAGTGTTGTTCAAGCAATAGATATTTTCCATGAAAGAATGTTCTTTGACCCATAGAGGCAGATTAACACCCGCAAATACCTTTGGCTCTGAAGACTTTTATCCACATACATAGAAGGAAAAAGTTACTATCTCTGATAGTATGGCAGAAGGTATGGCGGGGGACAACTTAATAAAACCATCACTTACTTCTATTTAGAATGTATGTTTACCCCACAGGGAAATCAGAGAATAGAGGGCATCTCAGGATGTACCCAAGATAGAAGCCATTCTATTGCCAAGTTCTAGTGGCTTAGTCTCAATCTCTGGGGATAAGAGGCAAAGAGTCATTCAGTGTCTTTTTGAAATTGATCCCATCTATGTGGGCTATTCCATAACTTCTTTGCCCTTTTATTACAGTTTAGATACACAGTAGCTAACATTTATTTGCCTCATATAAGCAGTAGACTTTTTTTTTTTTTGAGATGGAGTCTCGCTCTGTCACCAGGCTGGCATGCAGTGGCATGATCTCGGCTCACTGCAACCTCTGCCTCCCAGGTTCAAGCAATTCTCCTGCCTCAGCCCCTTGAGTAGCTAGGATTACAGGTGTGTGCCACCAAGCCTGGCTAATTTTCTTTTTCTTATTTTAGTAGAGACTAGTTTAACTGGTGTATGATATACACATACTGTTTACTAGTTTAGAACACCCTGAGCAGTTTTCTGCTTGTGAGGCCAGCTCGGTTTTCCTCGCTGTTGCTCTCAGCAAACAATATAGTCCATCATACGCTCAGCACTAGAGGAAACACCCTTTCACTTATTAATATTAGCTGAACTGGCTGAATTAAATTTACTGAATAAAGATTTTGTTGCAAGCACTGGGCTACCTTTCCTACCTATTAAGTTGATCTGTATCCCCCATAAAACTGTTAATTAATATTACACACAATGTGCAGGTTACCTTAAAACATTTAGCATATTGCTTTAATGCCCATGGCTAGCGAATGGCTTGTTACATGCTGCCAGGCGTCTTTTATCTTTTTTTTTTTTTTTTTTTTGAGATGGAGTTTCACTCTCGTTACCCAGGCTGCAGTGTAATGGCGTGATCTCAGCTCACTGCAACCTCCGCCTTCTGGGTTCAGGCAATTCTCCTCCCTCAGCCTCCTGAGTAGCTGGAACTACAGGCATGTGCCACCATGACCAGCTAATTTTTTGTATTTTTAGTAGAGACGGGGTTTCACCATGTTGACCAGGATGGTCTCGATCTCTTGACCTCGTGATCCACCCGCCTCGGCCTCCCAAAGTGCTGGGATTACAGGCGTAAGCCACCACGCCCGACCTCTTTTTTTTTTTTTTCGGCCCATCATAAGTTCGTGGCTGAGGCCCCTCTAAGGAAAAGCAGATAAACAAGAGAAAAGCCTACAAATTTATTTAATATAAGTTTTATGTGACATGGGAGCCTTAATAAGGAAATGAAGGCTGGGCACAGTGGCTCATGCCCGTAATCCCAGCACTTTGAGAGGCTGAAGCAGACGGATCATGAGGTCAAGAGATAGAGACCATCCTGGCCAACATGGTGAAACCCCATTCCTACTAAAAGTACAAAATTAGCTGGACGTTGTGGTGAGTTCCTGTAGTCTCAGCTACTTGGGAGGCTAAGGCAGGAGAATCTCTTGAACCCTGGAGGTGGAGGTTGCAGTGAGAGGAGATTGCGCCACTGCATTCCAGCCTGACGACAGAGCAAGACTCCGTCTCAAAAAAAAAGAAAAAAAGGGAAATGAAGACCCAAAAAAAGAGTTAAATTTGTATATTTTTATGGTATGTTTGATTAATGGACAGTCATGGAGAAATATATTGGGGAAAAGGGGTATAATCTACTGGCAAAATACTGGGGGGAATTTAGCAAGGCCTGTTTGTTCTGATTCTTTTCTGTGACCTGGTGTCTTCAGAGATAAGGATGTTCCTTTCCTCCAAGTATGGAGAGGGCACCTCTCACAGGAGGGTCATATGACCTGCTTCAGATGTAAGTCAGAAATCTCTTTCCTAGATTTTATGACCTGCTTGAGGGGAGAAATGGAGGGAAGATGAGAGTGACCTTCCTGCTTCTGCCATTTTCTCAAATTCCTTTATCTTAAAATATTCAGTATGCCAAGGTACCCTATTTTGGGGTAGAGAATTCTGAACCCCATTATGATCAACTCCTGCAGACTCCAATTATTCAACCAATAAGGCTAGAAAGCTTCCACAAATGAGAAGGCAGAACTGTTAAGATGTTAAGATGATGATGCTCAGGACAGGACATGCTCACCCAAAATATGGAACTAAGGAATCTGAGAAAACAGCAGAAGCAGGAAGTTCTCTCTGGCCTTCCCCTACCCTTCTCCCCAGAAGCAGGTCATGAACCCTAAGACCTTCTTCCTGGAGGAAAGTAGTGAAGACACAAAGAGGCCAGGAAGATCTGAACAAACAGGTCTTGCTAAAGCCCCCCAGTTTGTTACTGGGAGATCATGCCCTTTTGTCCTCCAGTCATACTTCTGCACAACTCTCCATAAAAATACACAGATTATTCATTAGTTTTCTGGGAAAGGGGTGGGCAATTCCTGGAACTAAGGGAATTCCTCCTGCTTTCAGACCGTATAGGGTAATTTCCAGACTTTGCTATGACGTTTGTAAACTTTCTTGGTCCTGGTGAGGGTGTCTTTTAGCATGCTAATATTTCATAATGAGCATATAATGAGCAGTGAGGACAACTAGACGTCACTTTTATTGCCATCTGGTTTTGGCGGGTTTTGACTGGCTTCTTTACTACATCTCATTTATCAGCGGGATCTTTGTGACCGGTACCTTGCAAAACCAGTCCTGCTGAACTCCTGACTCACTGGCATTGCAGCAAGGCAATGTCCTCACTACCTCCATTAATGTTGGGTCTTAGCAATGACCAGCCCCTGATAGGTCATTGCACATGTGGAGCTTCTCTGCCTACAAGGACTGAAGAAGGGTTGGATGAACATTTGGCTGAGTTGGACCAGCTGTGGCAGCCTCCGCTGGGGACAGGGGTAAGGGAGTTAACAAGGATGAAAAAGCCAAGCAAGGTCAAGGCTAAAGTTCTCCAAGGTTGCCTTTGGGTGAGAAGCTCTCTTGAGCAAGAAACTGTGGAACACCTTTTAATGAAGGCATCAACAATAGGGATTCAAAAGCTGAAAAATAACTCAGTTTATTTTCTATTTATTCTTTTTTTGAGGCAAGGTCTCATTGTCACCCAGGCTGGAGTACAGGGGTGTAATCATAGCTTACTGCAACCTCAACCTCCTGGATTCAAGCGATCCCCCCACCTCAGCCTCCTGAATACCTTGGACTACAGGCATACATCACCATGCCCAGCTAGTTTTTTTTTATTTTTTATAGAGACAGGGTTTTGCTATTCTGCCCAGACTGATCTTGAACTCTTAGGTGCAAGCAATCTATCCATCTCAACTTCCTAAAGTGCTGGGATGACAGGCGTGAGCCACCACATCCAGCCTACAGTTTATTTTTAATTATAAACAAAATATTAGAACAAATTGAAAATGGCTGGGCATGGTGGCTTACAGCTGCCACCCCAGCACTTTGGGAGGCCAAGGCAGAAGCATCACTTGAGCCCAGGTGTTTGAGACCAGCCAGGGCAACATAGTAAGACCTCATTGTTACAAAAAAAAAAAAATTAATTAAAAAATAAATAAATTGTAAATAGTCACAGTAAAGGACAGACTGAATTCTTAAATCTCTCCATAGAAAATACTATGAAATCTTGGTCCTATTAAGAGATAATCAAAAAGTATATAAGAAAAAAAGAAATTTTAGAGTATGTTAGGCAGTTAGTAATCATAAAAATATTAATACTGATTTTTTGTTTGTGATATTTGTCAGCTCTTTAAAATTTGTAACTTGTAATTAATAGTTATAAATAAATATTCAATTTTGTACTAGTTTTATATTTACAATTCTGCATACTTTTTATTCTAGAGGGTCCCCATATTGTATAAACTTTAGGCTCACAGAACCTAAAAGCGTCTAGATACAATATAAACTAAATATGGAATGGAACAACTAGTTAGGAAAATTCCAAATCTAGGGGGTTTTTTAAGCATCTTTTATAATCACACCTCAGGTAATCAAGTGCCTTACATGGCCAGTGGGAAGGAGTGGAAATAAAGATTAAGAGGTGTCAACAACAGACGCCCAGCCGTAGATGGGCCAGAAGAGCAAACTCTGCCCCAGCCTAGTGGTATAGAGGAGACACAGACAAAAGGCATTAGCAATCTGGAGACAACAGATGCTGGAGAGGATGTGGAGAAATAGGAACACTTTTACACTGTTGGTGGGAGTGTAAATTAGTTCAACCATTGTGGAAGACAGTGTGGAGATTCCTCAAGGACCTAGAAATAGAAATTCCATTTGACCCAGCAATCCCATTACTGGGTATATATCCAAAGGATTATAAATCGTTCTACTATAAGGACACATGCACACGAATGTTCATTGCAGCACCGTTTACAATAGCAAAGACCCGGAACGAACCCAAATGCCCATCGATGATAGACTGGACAGGGAAAATGTGGCAAATATACACTGTGCAGCCATCAAAAACGATGAGTTTGTGTCCTTTGTAGGAACATGGATGAAACTGGAGACCATCATTCTCAGCAAACTGACACAAGAACAGAAAATCAAACACCGCACGTTCTCACTCATATGTGAGTGTTGAACAATGAGAAAACATGGACACAGGGAGGGGAGCACTACACACTGGGGTCTGTCGGGGGGACATACGGGAGGGACAGTGGGGTGTGGGGAGTTGGGGAGAGATAGCATGGGGAGAAACGCCAGATATAGGTAATGTGGAGGAAGGCAGCAAATCACACTGCCATGTGTGTACCTATACAACAATCTTGCATGTTCTTCACATATAGCCCAAAACCTAAAATGCAATAAAAAAAATTAGCAAGCTTTAAGCAAGGGAGCAAGTGTTTAAGACAAGTAGGCAGGTGTGTGAGCAGGGATATCACTTATCATTAGAGAGGTGGTAACAGCTTGAGCCCAGGTGATGCTTCTTCAGGATTGCCACTGTTTTGTGTTGACATTCACCAAGTAGAATGACCTTCAGGTCTTTGGGGCACTCGAAGTACATAGGAGCCAGAGTTTCAATAGCTTCCCCAGCAATCCTTGCTTAGTCAATTGATTCCTATGTCTGCAGCCAAATACTATAAAAAACTCTGGGGGAGATAAACTCCTCCCATCCTCTTGGCTTTTCAATGAATCATTTAGATGGGAAACATAAGCCTATTCAGGTAAAAAGACACATGAAATCCAGGCCAGGATCACAGTCCTATCCCAAATATATGACTTTCTGCCCTCCCTCAAATAATGGGTGGGCATGCGGGAGTGTAATTTTTTTTTTTTTTTTCTGCTAACACCTGGCACTTTATTAGTGGGGAAACTCCCCTTGGTCTGGCAAAGAGACTGGGATGGACAGGACCAGCGGCCATTCTCGAGGGGGTATTTTCTGGACTATTAGGTGGTCCTCCTTGTAGGTTTAGAGGAAACACCCTCACTGATGAAAATCCCCCAGAGAGCAGCGCTGCAACTGCCAGGCAGCCGGGGTAGGAGGGGCGCCCTGGGCACAGCTGGGCCCTTGGGACAGCAGGGCTTCGATGTCAGGCTTGATGTCAATGGTCTGGAAGCGGTGGCTGTACCAGCGCACAGGAACACCGTCAGGGCCCACCAGGAACTTCTCAAAGTTCCATGCAACATCGTTTCGGCATACCGGAGACCAGGTGATGAGCTTGGGGTCGGTCATGAGCGCAGAGGCGTTGTTGCTGGGCGCTGGCAGGGCCTCCCGCAGGAAGGCCAAGAGAGGGTGCGACCCCTCACCGTTCACCTCGCACTTCTCGAAGAGCATGAAGTTGGGCTCGAACCCACCACCAGGTCGGACGTACTTGAGGGAATTCAAAATCTCTTCGTTCTTGGCGTTCTCCTGATGTCCAAACCGGTTGCACGGGAAGCCGAGCACCACCAGGCCCCGGAGCCCGAGGCGCCGCTGCAGTTCGTTCACCTGGGTGTAGTCCCGGACCGTGGTGCCTCAGAGGGACGCCACATTCTCGATAAGCAGCACCTTGCCCCGCAGGGAACCCAGGCTCACAGGCTCCCCGGCCAGCGGGCGCCCCGAGAAGGTGTACACCGACTGGGCAGCCGCCGCCGCCGCTAGCCGAGCAGCACACAAGGCGCAGCTATTCGAGGAGCTAAGGGAGCGCCCCGAACCAGCCGCGGGAGTGTATTTTTAAAACAAATGATTTTAATTCATTCACAGTTTCCTAGCAACCAGGAAAAAGCAAGTTTTCCTGATGTCTGTGAGCACCAGCCTGAGATGCGCAGATGCTCCAGCATGCCTCCAGAAGCAGAGAAAGAACAAAAGCACTGGAATCGGTCTCCGGTTGGTGAGCGGTTCTCAAAGGGGAATCTGTTAAGAGCAGGCACCTAATAGTACAGCCCCAGACACCTGTACCACAATTGCAGGGGTGCAGCAGGGAACATGCATGGAATGTGCAGATATTCTCCAGGGAATTCTATTCCTATAGAATTTGGGGGCTCTGACTTCTAGGGAATTGTTTCTATGAAACGGCTAAAGCCTGAGACAGCTGACATCTTTCCAGTACCTCTTTTGTGTGTGCTTTCAGCCAGCCTTCTTGTTTTCTTTAAAGCTTTATAGGCAGAAAAGAGGGGTAACTGTCAGAATTCAAATCTAGCTGAATTAGAGTCTGTGCTAATGGCCTTCTTTAAAACACGCATAGCTGCTAAACACATATAAATCACTGACTTCTACAGCTGTAAGGAATCTCTCCAATCATTCAATGCTTGCTTTACAGAGGAAGAAATGAAACTAGAGAGGCGAATTAATTTGTTCAAGGTGCACAACTAGTTGGTTACCTCACAGCCTCTTCTGACCTACAGCCTAGTAGTTTGGGAGTGGGACATACTCATATTTTAAAGATTTAAATCTTTGCATATTATACCACATTGAATGGCGGTAGTGGTGACAGGGGATGGGGAGGATGAGGGATGATCTAAGAGGAAGCTGTTACAACTGAGCAATGCAGATATTATAACTTATAAGTCTGAAACTCAAAGGGCTTACTCAGAATTACAAGACAGGAATGGATTAAGGCACATGCTAAGTGTGCCCACTCCCTGTCAAACAATTGAGCTAGGTCAAATAGTCTAGCAACAAGTGTTTTTCCAAATTATTGAATCAGGAGCATTGTAATGCATGCCAGACCTTATAGAGTTACAGAATGTTGGGGTAACAAGTGCTCCGGGCAGTGTTAACCAGGCCCATCATTTTTTGGATAACACCTGAGGCTGGGAAGCAGAAGATGCACAGCCACATCAATGAGTGTGGCTTTCCTGGGTCCAGGGCTCGTTCTTCTCTAGGCGATGGGGCCACCTCTATGGCTTGCTGTATCCTCTCCCAGCTGACCCTGTAGGGAGCAATATCATTGTCTTGATACTTATTCAATTTCCTGTGAAATGCTCTTACTTTCTTCCCCACTGTCACCTTATCCACATCTCATCCACTCCCCAAAAACTAAAGCAGATGTAGCGGCAGCAAGAATGATCCAAAATAATGAAGTTAGCCTAGGGAAGAATTCATTTAGATTAGTGACATCCTGTTTGCTCTTTGCTTACTGTTAGTAGAGCTGAATTGAGTGAGGCTTAGTGTTTATATGGCACCATTTTCAAAAAACCATTTCTAAAGTTTGTTTTCCAATCATCTTTAGAGTAGTGATTTAAAAACATATACAATTTTAAAAGTACAAAGGGTAGTATAATGAACATCCATGGACTTAGAATTCCAGAGTCAACAACTATTAACATTTTGATAGATGTGGGTATTAGGGTTCCACAGAGAAACTGAACAGACAGGATGTGTGGATACACACACACACACACACACACCCCCTATTAGGTGCAGTATAGGCTTAGCTCTCTCTCTTGCTCAAATATTTCTATTTTACAGAGTTGGCTCTCATGATTGTGGAGTCTTGGCCAGTCCAAAATCTGATAGTGGAGGCCGACTGGCCGCAGAATCAGGGAAGAGTTGGAATTTGAATCCCAAGGCTGCCTACTGGCAAATTCCTTCTGGCATGGGGGAGGTCAGTCTTTTGTTCTATCAAGGTTTTTGACTGATTGGACAAGGCTCACTCGGAGGGCAATCTGCTTTCAAAGTCCACTGATTTAAATGATAATCTCATCAAAAAGCACCTTCTACAGAAACATCCAGGATAATATAATGTTTGAACAACTATTTGGGCATAGTGGCCCAGCCAGAAAATAAATTTAAAAATAAATAAAACATCACAGATAGAGTTGATATCCTATTTATACCTCTCCCTGAGTACCCCATTCAATAGGGATGATTTTTGATAGCCTCCTTTTTGGTGACTTCAGACCCCTTGTGACCCCATCACCTGATCTTCAATTTCTGATTCAATGTCAGGGTGGGAATTGAAGACATATTTGCCATAACCACATATTCTTTCAAGGACCTCCTGGCCATAGGAGGTTATAGATGGATTCTATGGAAAACTCGATTATGAGCCACTGAGCCAGGGTGAACTCATTGGGAGTTGAATGGTCACAGAAAAACCCAAATGCATTCAGATCTAGATGAATCACATCCACCTAGCTTGGATGGTTATGCCCAAACAGACTCATCAGCTATTACACGGATGATTTTGGTTTTACTTGTTAGATTATTGCAAGGAAGTGTAAATTAAGAAAATAAGTGTTGGAAAAATTTGGAAGGAACAAAAGGTGTCAAATAAACACAAAGTACAGTGCATGAGCCTCCAAACAGCTTTCTGACCCCAAACCTGCTGAATAAGAGGCCTGAATGAGATGTTCCTTCAGCTCCCTTCCAGAGCCTAGGACTCCATGACTGGTATTTGGAGTGATAGCATCCCTAACTCAAATTCTCTCTGATTTGCTGCTGTAGCCTCTAGGCTCAGAGAAGCTGGGTCTTCCCACAGGATATCAAGTGTAGTGTTAGCTGCCGATACCTGCTCAGCCGGCTAAGCCTTTAACCATGGAAAGAAGGCTCATAAAGAAGGAGATGAAAAAGCTCTTGTAAGTATGATTGAGAATAACTTTCATTTATGACACTTGGCATTCGGTGGATTTCATGTCACAGATGGCTTGGGTATTGGCAGCAGGTAAAAATCTAAGGAAAGATCTATTTCTGTACGGTAGGAGAAAGCCAGAGGATGATATGGCCTCTTTTGGTTTCCTGCCACGGAGGCCTCACATGTAGTGCAAGCCAAGGATGCTGAAACTCTTGGGAGGATGTTTCTGCCGGCAGCCTGCACATCCGAGGCATCCCATTCTAGAGCCCAAGAGCTGAGCCTGTGTCCCAGTCAGCCTGTGTATGCAGGATGTGCCGTTGAAAGGGGCTGGCCCTGCTGGTAAAAGGTATAGGAGAGATTCCTGAAAAGGCCCAGCGTCTAAATTGCAGCCTCTGCTCTGCCTCTTCTATTGTCAGCCTTATCGACTAAGAAATTCATCTCCTTTTTCTCAACATCTGAACATTCTTTTGAAAGAAATGTTTTCCTCCCATGGTAGTTTTTCTTTGACTTGTACTTAACAAATGTTGGTGAAAGATCACAAACCATGTAAAAAGAAAAAAAAATCACAAACCATATAAAATTTCTGTCTCATATGTGTTATAGACACAATAGTAATACCATTTTCATCAAAGGCCTTATCACAGTCCCCATCAAATATCTTTCCTTGGCCAACTAAGACAATTTTACTTTAATAAGTCCTTAAGAAATGCTGGAAGAAACCTATATGTGTATACACATATATGTAAATTCATATATAGTAGCCATGTACACATATATGTGTATGCACATATATGTGAATTCATATTCATCTCTTGCTTTTAAGCAGAGATTATATTGGCATCAGACTTCCGGAAAATGAATTTCACCCAAAAGGAGGAAGGCAACTTACCTTTCTAGATAATATGGTAAAAAGGCATGCTGACCCGAGTCATATTTGTATTATATGTTAGAGGCCAATAGAATAGTAAAGAGCAAACCATGATCAGGAATGTGAACTCTTCTACACATCTCACCCAAAGAATTGGAATGTCAAAAGTGATAGAAATACAATTTTATATCCAAAGAATACATTTAGTCTACTTCAAAGTATCCTGAAATTTCACAGCAAAATTTTAAGAATTTTTATCAATCTAGTTATGCTTAATGACTCAAGAAGAGCTTTTAGAAGCCAGAAACAGACTTATCCTCCACCTTATATAAAACTGTGAGCTGTGCCAAAATCAACCTGGGAGATACCATAGTCCTTTTCCTGCGCCATTTCCTCTCTCTGACATGCCCAGGGTAGCACCTGTTTCTCTTCTCCCCTCATGGTGCTCATTTTACCTTCTTTTATTAAAAGTCACTGTCAGGAAAGTATCCGCTAAGGATAAACTAAAGTGGAATCACTAATAAGTTGTTATGCGTTCCTCCTCCTGAGGGTATTTGCATTCTAAAGAGAAAATGCCTTATGACAAAAGAATACTTATCTATAGAATTTTACCTATCTGGAATTGATCAACTTTGGACATGCTGCTTGAATTTAACATGGGAAGCAAATGATTATTTTAAACAGTGTGTCTCAATCCTTTCAATCTTGTAAAACCATTTCTGTGTGTGGGTATTTGGCATATTCTTTGCTTTCCTGTAAATTCTGTTCCAGTTGAGTTTAATATTTAGATAAATGTGATTTCAGTTAATTGTGGTTATACATTTTAAACTGCAGCATTGTTGAATTATCATGTAAACCCAAACTGAGTATTAACTCAGCTACCAGAGAATCAACAACTTCTCTTGTATTTTGGTGGGGGAGGGAGGGATGGGGAAAAAAGCCTCTTTCTGCAGACTGAGCCCATGTCACTCCAATGGTTCAATGCTGCTCTCTTCCTTTTAAGGGGAGATTATATTGGCATCAGACTTCGGGAAAATGAATTTGACCCAAAAGGAAGAAGGCAACTCACCTTTCTAGATGATATGGTAAAGAAAGGCATGCTGATGCGAGTCATATTTGTGGTATATGTGTATTAAAGAGAAAGAAAAGGATGTAATTTATACAATAAACAAAGCTAATTTTTACACCCATCCCCTAAATGTCCCCTTCCTCACCTTCTCCCCACCCTAAGATTGTTCATATGGTCATTTCAACCCACTATCCAGAAAGCAAAAAGAGAATGAGAAAATAAAAATCATGAGAGTTATTTGCTATTCAGAAGATTAAAAAGCAAAATTAATGCAGGGTAAAATGTTACATCCATCTAGTTAAAATTTTGACAATATTAGCGATCATGTAGTTCTCAAAATAATTTCTTTACTGCTTGCATTAGTGGGGGAAAACGAAATAAATTAAGTAACCCTATAAATCCTTGATGTTATTTATTTTGAAACCCAGACTCAGGATCTGAAAGTTCACATCACAGAAATTAAGGAAGAAACCATGTAAAGATCAAATTCAAAAGAAATTAGAAAACCCTCAGTTTCTTCACTGCCGGTTTACTATCCCTGCACTGATAAAAAAGACTCTCTCCCTCCAGACTCTCTCCCTCCACTCCCGTCTCCTCTCCTCTGACTAAAGTAGAGGGAGGCTCACTGACTTTCAAACTACCCTGGAGCTCAGGAAATAGTTAAGCCTTATTCTGTCTGTACACATATTGAACAGAGATTTAAGTAGATGAGAGCAGTGCTTCTAAACTTTAATGAGATTGTATTACAAGGCTGTTTTGATTCAGGAGGTGAAGAGGGGGTCAGGAATTTGCATTTCAAATCAACAAACAAGTGATGCCAAGGCATCAAACTTTGGATCAAGTTGCAATTGGTCATGGTCCAATTCTTCCTGTTTATTTATTCATTTAGGTTCACTGTTCAGTTTGGTTCAGTGACTGGAAGAAATAACTTCACTGTTTAGGAAATGTTAAAAGTTTAGTACTCCTCTACAATAATTAAAAACAAAACCAATCTTCCCTTTCCTGTATGTGGAGACTGAAAAGAGAGAAGGAATATTTTGATAGACAAAGGCAAATATGCTTATGGAACAAGAACTCTTAGGATTACTAGGAAAAGGTAGTCACTATGATAAAAATGAGCATCGCATTGGTTCTCAGCACTTTTTTTTTTTTTTGAGATGGAGTTTCGCTGTTGTTACCCAGACTGGAGTGCAATGGCACGATCTTGACTCACTGCAACTTCTGTCTTCTGGGTTCAAGCAATTCTCCTGCCTCTGCCTCCCGAGTAGCTGGGACTACAGGTGCACACCACCATGCCCAGCTAATTTTTGTGTTTTTAGTAGAGACGGGGTTTCACCTTGTTGACCAGGATGGTCTCAATCTCTTGACCTCGTGATCCACCTGCCTCGGCCTCCCAAAGTGCTGGGATTATAGGTGTGAACCACCGCGCCCGGTGGGTTCTCAGCTTTTTACTATATGTAAGTGTGAGACTCTCAGCAAGTCACTTACTCAGGACTACCCCCCTACCGCCCCATCCTTGCCTCATGCTGATTCCTCTACCTGTGATGTCCTTCCACATCTATAGACATTCTCATCCCACAAGCCCTAGCTCCAATGAAGCTTCCCTCTCTGAAGCTTCCTGGGATTCTAGCTATCTCCCAAGGTAGACATAAAACAGCCCATCCCTCCAAATTCCCACCACACTGCCCCTGTACTCCTGGAAGCACATTTCTGACATTCTACTCACAGAATCAGAAATTGTTCCCTGCAGCCCTCTTCCCTCAACCTTACCTCTTTCTATTTTAAAATTTAGGGAAGGCTCACGCCTATAATCCCAGCACTTTGGGAGGCCGAGGCAGGTGGATTATGAGGTCAAGAGATCGAGACCATCCTGGTCAACATGGTGAAACCCCGTCTCTACTAAAAATACAAAAATTAGCTGGGCATGGTGGTGCACATCTGTAGTCCCAGCAACTCGGGAGGCTGAGGCAGGAGAATTGCTTGAACCCAGGAGGTGGAAGTTATGGTGAGCCAAGATCGTGCCATTGCACTCCAGCCTGGGTAACAAGAGCGAAACTCCGTCTCAATCAAAAAAAAATTCAGGGAAACCGAAGCTCAGAGAGCATCAATTACTCACCTAAGGATATTCCGTGAGTTTTTGGCAATACCTAGATTTGAGCCAAGATTTCCTGATTTCCAGTTTAGTATTCTTTTCACTGATCTCTCCTTTTTTTTCCAAACCACAGAAACCAGATAACTGCTGTAGTGGGAGATAAATGTAATATCTGAAGATCCCAAAATACTTCTGGCTGATTCACCCCTGTGAAGTCTGAGAAAAAAAAAAATCTGGCTGAGCATCAGGTTATTAGAACTAATGATCCTTCCCATTTGGACATGACAGACTAGAATAGGCTTAGCAGTGCCATCGTCACTGGGTCCAGGGAGTACTTCGGCCAATGTCTAAACCTGTTTCTTTGCTCTCTGTGCTTCTGCTCCCAGGCACACTATGACTTGGCCATCAAGGTTGCTTTGCAATGGCTGGATCCCTCAGAAGACTTAGCTTGGCTGGAGTGGGAGGAAGTGTAAGTTGAAATGGGTTTGTGGCTATGATTAACGATAGAGGAAGTTCTAGCCCTAACATCTTCCATCTTGAAGCACTCTGATTTGAAAATACTACAGGGTGTACCCCTCTTTAACAAGACCCCTGAGGAACCTCCACAGTTGCCAACTTGAAGAAGTTATATGTTTCCATGTTTTGCATCTCTGCTAATTGACTTATGTGATGAAAGACTTTCTTGCACAGAATATTGTGTCTTAAGGGGCCGGGCATGGTGGCTCCCACCTGCAATCCCAGCACTCTGGGAGGCTAAGGCAGACTGATTAGTTGAGGCCAAGAGTTCAAGACCAGCCTGGCCAATATGGTGAAACCTCGTCTTTATTAAAAAATACAAAAATTCCCCCAATGTGGTGGCGCACACCTGTAGTCCCGGCTAGTCAGGAGGCTGAGGCAGGAGAGGAGAATCGCTTGAACCCAGGAGGCGAAGGTTGCAGTGAGCCAGCCTTGTGTCACTGCACTCCAGCCTGGGCAACAGAGTGAGGCTCCATCTCAAAAATAAAGAATGCTCTGTCCTCAAAACATGCCTGCTTTATTTGTTTGTTTGTTTGTTTGTTTGTTTGTTTGTTTGTTTGTTTGTTTTGGAAACAAAGTCACCCTGTCACCCAGGCTGGAGTGCCCTGGTGTGATCTGGGCTCACTGCAACTGGGTTCAATCAGTTCTTCTGCCTCAGCCTCCTGAGTAGCTGGGATTATAGGCATGTGCCATCACACCCAGCTAGTTTTTGTATTTTTAGTAGAGACGGCATTTCACCATATTGGTCTCAAACTCCTGACCTCAAGTGCTCCGCCTGCCTTGGCCTCTCGGAGTGCTGGGATTACAGGAGTGAGCCACCACACCCATCCAAAACAGTCAGTTCTATGGGTTAAAGTTGTGATCTCTTCCTAAGCACTACCAAACACAAATTCTTCAGCATTTAGGCAGGTGGGTACCTGAGTTGAGCTGTTCAAAGCACAGAATACTTTTCTTTCTGGGATTCCCGGCATTTTCTCTCATGTGTAGGGAGTGTTCGGGCAGACTCACTCAGCCAGTAAGAACACAGAACCAGTGAGAACAGGATCAAAGAGCTTATTCTGGAGGCCTGTTATTTTTTTCTACTCAGTGGCTGTGGACTACACACCTGACCCTAAAGAGGTGTAACAGTTAGGGTTTAGCTGTAATGAGAGAAAATCCAATCTGAACAGCCTTAAGCAAAAAAAAAAGAAAGAAAGAAAAAATTGGGGGTAGATTTTATTACCCTTGTATCTGAAAAGTCCTTGGGTAGGACTGTATTAGGCATGGTTTAATTCAAGACTCAAACAACGTCATCAGGATCTACCTCTTGACTCTATTTCATCAGGGTGGACACCATTCCTAGTTTCAGCCTATTTCACTCTCCGGGGAAGGGTGAATATATATACATATATTTTTAGTCACATAATTGTGTCTCTGTGGCTGTTTCCTGACTTGTCTAGGGGTAGACAGTGGCAAGGCAGGGGAGGTGGAATACACTGCAGCTTAGTCCAAGTGTGTTTTTCATCTTTGGACTTTAGGGGTGTTGTCGGCTTCCCTAGAAGCATATAGGCTTACAGTGGGGTTAGGTTGTTCCCACAAAGCAAATTGCCACACCAAGGGGAAAGGGTAATGACTGGCAAAACCACAAACACCTCCCACAGTGGCCAGTCTGCCAATCTTTGATTGCTGTGAAAGTGTGGATGAGGCCAAGTTCATCACCATTAATGAAAGATTAAAAATTCAAAGTGTGGGTTTCACCAGTGGAGGAACAATCACATCAGTTTTATTAATATAAATAAGCTGATAGCACACAGCCACTGCAGATTACTTACGGATTCTCATCACAACCTTAGCAAGCACCAAAAAGAATAGGAATAAATCCCCCACTTGTATTCCCTATTTCCCATTAGGAAAATGCCATTCCATGGCAGACCCATATATCCAAATCGTAAAGAACGAGAAGCTATGATTTTATCATCTTATGCTGGAATCTTAATGGTAAGGAAAAGAATACTATTTTACTATTTGAATATTTCATATCTACTCTGAGTGTATTTATAGTAATGAATATTTACATTATTTTTCAACCAATGTTTCTAAATGTTTAGGATTTACTAATAGCAAATGTTTCATTTTTTTTTTTTTTTTTTTTTTCTGAGACGGAGTTTCACTGTTGTTACCCAGACTGGAGTGCAATGGCACGATCTCGGCTCACCGCAACCTCCGCCTTCTGGGTTCAAGTAATTCTCCTGCCTCACCCTCCCGAGTAGCTGGGATTACAGGCACACGCCACCATGCCCAGCTAATTTTTTGTATTTTTAGTAAAGATGGGGTTTCACCATGTTGACCAGGATGGTCTCGATCTCTTGACCTCATGATCCACCCGCCTCGGCCTCCCAAAGTGCTGGGATTATAGGCTTGAGCCACTGCACCTGGCCCAAATGTTTCATTTTTAATGTAATTAAAAGACTTTGACTTTTACACTGTATATGAAAACATTTATTATAGAGGCAAAGAAAAAAGATATGCTGTTCATTGTGGGCTTGCAATATATGGCCTTTTTGTGTGTGTTCAGGAACGCTTCTATACCTAATTCCCTTTTTTCCAAAGATGAAAGAATGAGAAACATAACTAATCAATATCTGGGAAACTGATTCACCCAGTGATCAGAAGTTATTTGCTGTATTTAGTACTCATGATACCCAAGCACAGTTTTAGACATACTTGAGCTATACCAGCTTTGTTTTGTAATAAAAGAAAGCCATATATAATCATACTTTGTTATTCCTGTTTTTGTTTAACAGAACAGTATCCCAATTGAGGAAGTGTTTAACATTTATGGGGCTGATTCTTCTGCCAATTCTGGTACCATCAAGGTAAGGGTGACCTGATATTGTCAACATAAAGGATTTTTAGAGAGAATTTATTTAATGTAAAAATGTATAATGTCATGTTTTCGGACATCAATTATGAAATAACAGTTTTATATCAAAAGGTACAAAACCAGACATAACCATTTCTTACTTAAATAACATGTTTGTAAAATGCCTTTCATATGTAAAAGACCATGTGGTAATAACAAATGTATCTGTGTAAGGCTGAGAAGGGGAAGCAAAGAAAATACCAGGCTTGGGGGCCAAATTTTACTCTGTTGTGATTTTGGGTTTTTTTGAGACAAGAGTCTCCCTCTGTCACCCAGGCTGGTGTGTAGTGGTGCAATCTCGGCTCACCACACCTCTGCCTCCTGGCTTCAAGCAATTCTAGTGCCTCAGCCTCCCAAGTAGCTGGGACTACAGGCGCGCACCATCAAACCCAGCTAATTTTTCTATTTTTTGGTAGAGACAGTGTTTTGCCACAAGTGATCCGCTTGCCTTGGCCTTCTAAATTACTAGGACTACAGGTGTAAGCCACCACACCAGACCTCTGCTCTGTTTCTGATTAATGTAATTTCTCACTTACACTTTTTGTAATGTAGATCTGATATGTCCACACTCTTCTCTTCTATGATGTACTGTGTCTCCTAGAACTAAGACAAGATCCACAAGGCTCGTTCTCATGATGAATTCCCTATTTTATTGTTGATACATCTTCCTTTTCCACAACACTACTTTTTTAAAAGACTGGTCCACTACTGATCTCAAATTCCTGGGCTCCAGTAATCCTTGAAATCCTGGTCTTAGCCTCCTAAGTAACTGGACTACAGGCGTGAGCTCCACTCCCAGCTCCTCCCATGAAACTACTTTGAAATCACTAATAGTAGAAGCAGCAATGACCTGGGAGTTCAGAGAGATGGGTTTGAGTTCTGACTCCACTACTATGAAGCCCTAGATGCGTCCACTTCCTGCTTTGGGCCTCCATATGACTGATCTTAAAAAAAAAAAAAAAAAAAAATGTGTTCTGGATAATTTTTAAGACCACTTTCATTTTTGCCATTTGTAAATGTACGACTATTAAGCAAACATTTAAATATGAGCTGCTATTTAGAGGTGAACTACCGATCCCTTCACCTTTGGATACCTCTAGAAGAGGGAATAGGAAAGGGAAGGTGGGGTGGCGAGAGGCATGCAGTGGAAAGAGGGAAGGGGGAACCAACGTCCTCATGCCCAGGTCTTCTACTCACGCTGTGGCCTTCCCTGTGCCCACGTGGATTCAGAAGGGAGGGCAGGGCAGGGGCAACATTGTGACCACGGGAATACCTGCCTCCCTTGCTCCTTTACTGCACATCGCAGTGCAAGCAGTGGGGTCATGCAGAGGTCAAGAGCTTACCAGGTCCACCTTAGAAGTCAAGTGTTTACACTGAAACCAACCTTCCTATTACCTTACCCATATGTTACCTGGCTATAGTCCTGAGACTCAAATGCCCTTGATCACTGTGAAAATCAGAACTTTCTCTTTGATCCCTCTAGTTTCAACTCACTTCATTCATTCATTCATTCATTCATCTGTTCATTCGGTATAATTTTAGGTACAGAGGATGCAGTAGTGAGCAAGTCAGACAAGATTACTTTTTAAAGACTTTTTTTGTAGGCCGGGTACAGTGGTTCACGCCTGTAATCCCAGCACTTTGGGAGGCAGAGGCAGGTGGATCACCTGAGGTCAGGAGCTTGAGACCAGCCTGGCAAACATGGTGAAACTCAATCTCTACTAAAAATGCAGAAAATTAGCCGGCAGTGGTGGCAGTCGCCTGTAATCCCAACTACTGGGGAGGCTGAGGCAGGAGAATCACTTGAACCCAGAGGGCGGAGGTTGCAGTGAGTCCAGATTGTAAACTCCATTTTAACAGAGCAACAGAGCTAAACTCCATCTAAAAACAAACCATAAAGGTGCTAGAAGGGGAAGACAGGCCATGTAGAGGTGGACCAACCAATCTCTACCTATTCATCTGATCAGTCGTTTATTCATTGAAGAGCCTTTGTTCAGCACCTTCACTGAACATCATAGATGCTGACTTCTCTTTTTCATTTTGGTTTTTTTTGAGACAGAATTTCCCTCTTGTTGCCCAGGCTAGAGTACAATGGTGTGATCTCGGCTCACTACAATCTCCACCTCCTGGGTTCAAGCAATTCTCCTGCCTCAGCCTCCCAAATAGCTGGGATTGCAGGCATGTGCTACCACACCCAGCTAATTTTGTATATTTAGTAGAGATGAGGTTTCATCATGTTGGTCAGGCTGTTCTCAAATCCCTGATTTCAGGTGATCCACCCGCCTCAGCCACCCAAAGTGCTGGGATTACAGGCGTGAGGCACTGCGCCTGGCCACTTGTATTTGTTTATTGCTACGTGATGTGAACAATGGCTCATTTATATATATATACATACTATTATATATATATACATATACATATTTATATATATAAATACTATTATATATATACATATACATATTTATATATATACTATATATACATATACATATATACTATTATATATGTATACATATATATATACATATATGTGTGTATATACACACACACACACATATGAAACCAAGAGGCAGGATGTGTGATGTTAAGCACTAGGATTCCAAAGCCTGGCTTCCTGGGTTTGAATCCCAGCTCCACCATTTACAAGCAGAATAATCCTGGGCAAATGTTCTAACCTCTGTAATTCTCAATTGTATTTGTAAAAACAGGGATGAGAAGATGGGGGTTGTTGTGGGATGAAGTAAGTTAGAATAATGAAGCCCTTTGTGTCTGGCACATGGTAACCTCCAAATAACAGCTTTAATTAAAGTTCTTGTACTCAGGGGATGGGTATCTGATTTATTCTGTGTTCCTCTAAATCAGGATTTCTCATTTTGGGCCAGATAATCTGTTGTTGTGTGTGTAGGGGGTGGAGGTCTGGAGCTGTCCTGTGCACTGTGGGATGTTTCACAGCATCCTTGGCCTCTACCCATTAGATGCAAGTAGCTTCTCTCCTGTTGTGACAATTAAAAATGTCAGCCAGATGTGGTGGCTCATGCCGGTAATCCCAGCACTTTGAGAGGCTGAGGCGGGAGAATTGCTTGAACCCTGGAGGCAGAGGTTGCAGGGAGTGGATATGGTGCCGCTACCCTCCAGCCTGGGTGACAGAGCAGGACTCTGTCTCAAAAAAAAAAAAAAGGCTCTAGACTTTGCCAAATGTCCCCAGGGAGGCAAAATCACATGAAATAGAGAACTACTGCTCTAAATATTCAAAAATTAAATAGCTAATCAAGCATCTACGTGTATTATTAATACAGTGTAGACTCTGCCTCTTTTTGGAAAACCAGTGATCACAGAGGGTGTAATTTGAGTTACCAACACACCAGAACCTAAGAGCCTAAGGATCTACCCGTGAGCTTCACAAATTCCTCCCACCTCCAGAACACCAGCTCAGACTGTACTCTTGTAATTACACATCAGCTACACGCAGGGACTTTTGCCACATCTTGAATAAGGAATTAGCAGGACCTCTCCATGGAAATATACCATTTCAAAGACTGAACTGTAAGGCAATTTTAAAAGAGTCTTTTTGGGATTTAACATAATTTTTAAAAAATGGTTTTAACTAGAAAGAGGAGTGTTGTTGTTGTTGTTGTTGTTGTTTTTTGAGACTGAGTTTCACTCTTGTTACCCAGGCTGGAGTGCAATGGCGCTATCTCGGCTCACCGCAACCTCCGCCTTCTGGGTTCAGGCAATTCTCCTGCCTCAGCCTCCTGAGTAGCTGGGATTACAGGCACACGCCACTATGCCCAGCTAATTTTTTGTATTTTTGGTAGAGACAGGGTTTCACCATGTTGACCAGGATGGTCTCAATCTCTTGACCTCGTGATCTACCTGCCTCGGCCTCCCAAAGTGCTGGGATTACAGGCTTGAGCCACCGCGCCTGGCTAGAAAGAGGAGTTTAAAAAAAAAAAAAAAAAAAAGATATTGCTAAAGATACTGCATATATCTGAATGACCTCTGATTCCTTCCAATGAAACGTCTCCTAAGCAACAGCTAAAATCCTTCCCAGGCAAAAGCTTAAAACCCTGTTGAATGCTAATCAGATTTTGTAGAATTTCCTGCAACTGGAATTGGCCGCATGACACAATATGGGTACTGTGCTAGGCTTCATGGCTGTCTCCAGGACTATGTGCTGCCCCCTGATGGTAGAAAGGCGTCATAGGCGCAGGGTTACTCACCAACTGTTAGCTGAGAGGGAGTTGGTTTTTGCTAGCTTTTTTCTGCTGAGGATTCTGGACTCCCAAAAAAAATTCAACTAAGGGCCTTACACAAGTGATGGTTATTGACAACTAGCCCGGATAAATATAAAATGTCTTACTCTTTTTTTTTTTATCCCAAGCTGGAGTGCAGTGGTGTGATCTTGGTTCTCTGCAACCTCTGACCCCCGGGTTCAAGGGATTCTCCTGCCTCAGCCTTCCAAGTAGCTGGAATTACAGGTGCACACCACTGTGCATGGCTAATTTTTTGTATGTTTAGTAGAGACCAGGTTTTGCAATGTTGGCCAGGTTGGTCTTGAACTCCTGACCTCAAGTGATCCAACTGCCTCAGCCTCCCAAAGTGCTGGGATTACAGGGTGAGCCACTGTGCCAGACCATGTCTCACTCAATTTTAAACTGAAGAAAAGAGAGCATAAATCTTCCTTCAACAAATCAAACAGAAATAAAAATACTCTCTAGCTCCATCTGATGTAGAAAGAGGGAGACAGAGAGAGTGGAAATGAGCACATAAGAGAGAGGGAAGAGACAAAGGCAGGTGGGCAGACAGCACTAGAACCTCTGTTTGCTTGCTTTTCTTTTTTTCTTTCTTTTATTTTTTGGAAACGGAGTTTTGCTCTTGTTGCCCAGGCTGGAGTGTAATGGCACAATCTTAGCTCACCGCAATCTCTGCCTCCCAGGTTCAAGCAATTCTCCTGCCAGCCTCCCAAGTAGCTGGGATTACAGGCATGTGCCACCACGCCTGGCTAATTCTGTACTTTTTGTAGAGACGGGGTTTCTCCATGTTGGTCAGGCTGGTCTTGAACTCCCAACCTCAGGTGATCCACCCACCTAAACCTCCTAAAGTGCTGGGATTACAGGCATGAGCCACTGAGCTTGGCCTGCTTTCCTTCTTTCTTCATGAAGCTGGACCCCGGCGTCTTACTGGCTGTCGTTCAAGTCCATCCTAACTGACATCCAAGTCCAGAGCATGTCACAGGCAAACAGACTGATGTCCAGTCCCAGCTTTGTCACTTGCTAGCTGTGTGTCTTCGGATAAGTTATTTCTCTCTGATTCCCAATTTTCCCATATGTAAATAGGCGTGTCTAAACAGGCATGATTACACTTACCCACACACACTTGATCACTCTGAGGACTCAGTGAGACCACAGGTATAGAGCACATGATGGTGGTACCAGGGGACCTTCCATATTAGTGCTGTTATTTCCAAGTTCACCCCCACTTGGAATGGCCAGCCTCCTTCCTCCTGATAGCAGCCTGGTCCCTTTGTGATAGGCCTGGCTTCCACCCTCTCACACTTACTCCAATAATTTGCTAAGTGTAACTCTGACTGAATTGTGCAGAAATTTTTAAATGTTTTCATGGTAAGGGGAGGGACCTATGTTTTAGACAAATGTTCAGTATTGACAGATCTTAATCATGAGGAATTGGCCGGGCACAGTACTTGTAATCCCAGCACTTTAAGAGGCTGAAGCAGGAGAATCACTTGAGCCCAGGAGTTCAAGACCAGCCTAGGCAACATGGCAAAACCTATCTCTACCAAAAAATACAAAAATTAGCCAGGCGTGGTGGTGTGTGTCTGCAGTCCTCGCTTCTTCACAGGCTGAGATGAGAGGATCATTTGAACCTGGGAGGTAGAGGCTGCAGGGAGCCATGATCTCACCACTGTACTCCAGCCAGAGTGACAGAGTGAGACCCTGTCTCAAAAATTAATAATAATCGTAAAAGAGGGATTAAAAACAAACTTTTAATATTATGTCCAAATGAATACTTAACAATATATATTTAAAGAACAAGGACCAAGCAAACAAACAAATCCAAGTGTATAAAGGGAACAGTATCAACAGTTTTAAAGCTCTCTGTGTACCCTCTCCTGTCTCATACCCTTCCTTTCACCATAGGTTACCACTATTTTGAATTATGTGTTTATTATTGTCTTTTGCTTCTTTATGGTTTTACCACATATTCATCTCTAAGCTATATATTGTTTAATTTGCACATTTTTGAGTTTCTTATAAATAGGATATTAGCAAATCTGTTATTTAATGACTTCCTTTTTTCATTCAACATTATATTTCAGAAACATTCATATTGCTGCACATAGCTATAGTTTCTTGTCATTACATACAGTATTCCACTCTAGGAATATACTACAATGTTGTCATATATTTTTCCTTTTCAGGCACTTGAGTTTTTTGTTGGTTTTTTTTTTTTTTTTTGAGACTAAGTTTCAGTCTTGTTGCCCAGGCTGGAGTGCAGTGGCACAATCTCAGCTCACTGCAACCTCTGCCTCCCAGGTTCAAGTGATTCTTCTGCCTCAGCCTCCCAAGTAGCTGGGATTACAGGCATCCGCCACCACACCCAGTTAATTTTTTGTATTTTTAGTAGAGACAGGGTTTTGCCATGTTGGCCAGGTTGGCCTCAAACTCCTGACCTCAGGTGACTCACTGGCCTCGGCCTCCCAAAGTGTTGGGATTACTGGCATGAGCACCTGGCCGAGTTATTTCTTGCAAAACAAGAAGAGTTGCACAGCAAATGAGTTTCTGAATGTTATATGTTTAGGAGTGAAATTGCTAAGCCATGGACATAAGCATCTTCAACTCTCTACATAAAGCTAAACTGCTTTCCAAAATGGTTGTAACAATTATACTTCTACCAGCAATGCGGGTTATCTACATTGATATTTGCAGGCTCCTTCAGTTTCATCAGTCTGTTCAGTGTATTGTGGTATTTCACGGTGGTTTACATTTGCATTCCCCTGATTACCAATGGACAACCATTCATACGCTTCTTCTTCTATAAAGTGCCTGTTAAAGACTTTTGGCCAGATGAGTGAACCAACAATTCTGCACTGGGTGGGCAGTGGGAACAGTGCCAGTAAGGGAGAGGGGGCGTGGGAGGACATCAGGATACATTTCTCAGAAGGGGTGATATTTGAGCTACATGATAAAGAAGAGGTAGGTGTCTCTAGGCAGAAAAGGAGGAAATGGCTAGAATGGAAACTATATGAAGAGTGTCAATGCATGACAGAATATTCTAGGCAACGGGAACCAAATACAGGACCAAAAGGCCATGTGTACAAGTTTGCGTTCATATGCTTCACTTGCCCCATCAATAGACCGTGAGTATCTAAGGATTCTCAGTTGATCAAACAGGCCAAATCCTGTAAATGGCAGGTGTTTATCCTGCAGAGAATGGACAGTTTTTTAAAGTAGGACTGTTTTCCTTTCAGGTTCCCCGAGTTTCATCTCTCCACCTCTCCTTGCACCCCTTTGCCATGTTAACAGCACCCAAAGCGGCAGAATACGCCCGCAAACAGAGTAAGCCTGTTTACTTTCATCTGCTTAGAGAAATGTAAGTAAAATTAGGATATGGGCTCACAAGGTAAGGTCGAAGTTGTAATGGGAATTAGATTTCTGTGTCTGCTTGAATTTAAAAGAACCAGGAGCTCTAGGGCTTGATTTCCCTCCATTGCTGAAATCAAGGAAGTCTTATTTCTCAGATGCTCTTTGGTGATGGAAGCAAAGCACTCCTGATGCAAAGGACTAAGACTATGAGTGGGCTGGACAGGGCAGCTCACACTGGTAATCCCAGCACTTTGGAAGGCCAGGCTGGGAGGATTTCTTGTGCCCAGGAGTTTGAGACCAGCCTGGGAAATTTAGTGAAACTTCGTCTCTACAAAAATAAGTCCAGAGTGGTGGCTCACGCCTGTAATCCCAGCACTTTGGGAGGCTGAGGCAGGTGGATCACCTGAGGTCAGGAGTTTGAGACCAGCCTGACCAACATTGTAAAACCCCACCTCTACTAAAAATACAAAAATTAGCTGAATGTGGTGTCGGGCACCTGTAATCCCAGCTACTCCAGAGGCTGAGGTGAGATAATCAATTGAACCTGGGAGGTGAAGGTTGCAGTAACCTGAAATCACCCCATTGCACTCCAGCCGGGCAGCAAAAGCAAAACTCCATCTAAAAAAAAAAAGCAAAGAAACAAAAAAGAAAACAAAAATAAAATAACTGGCCATGGTGGCGCACTCTTCTAGTCCCACCTACTCAGGAGGCTGAGGTGGGAGGATTGTTAGAGCTCAGGAAGTGGAAGCTACAATTGGCCGTAATGGAACCATGCACTCCAGCCTGAGTGACAGAGTGAGACCCTGTCTCAAAAATAATTAATTAATGAAATGAAATGAGACTGTGGATGAACACATTTTTTTAAATTTTATGTATAGTTATGGTTACTATATCTATCTGTAGGTGTCAAGTCAAGAAAGGGAACAGCAAACAAAAATGCCACCAGCAGCTCTACGAAGGAAGCAAATGCCACGGAATGGAAACCATCGCAGAGGTTTTCAGACACAGCCAAAGAACAAAGTAGGTGTGAAATTGTGAATTGGACCAAACTGATACTAGATATTTTGGAAATACTTTCCTGATAGTGTGGTTAAAAGTCTAGCCTTTGGAGTCGGATGCTCTGGGTTTGAATCTAGAGCCCACCATTTACCAGCTGTGTGACTTCAGGAAGCTACTTAGACTCTTGTGTGCCTTAGTTTCCTCCTCTGCAAAATGGGAAGAATAATGATACCTACCTACCTCTTCAGGTTGTTGGGAAGACTAACTGAGATTATTCATGTTAAAAGGTTCAAACATGCTTAACACAGAGTAAACCCCAAATAAATACTAGCCATTATTATCTTTTCAGCATTTGAAAAATATTATTCACAAGTTAATTGGCTGTTAACTCCGTAGATGCAAATAAGTATGTTGAGGAGAAAGTTTGTATCAGTATCTGTATCCCAAATGTTCCTATCCTTGATCCCTCTCTCAGTAATAATAACTTTCTTTTATCCTGTTTAATGTCTCCCCTGCTCCTGCCCTGTCCATCTAATTCCTGATTTTTATGTGGTGGAATTCGGAGAATGGTCAGAGATGGAGAGGACTGGAAAGAAAGGAGAAAGGGAGGAGAGCTCTTTGTTCTTCCAGCTCTGGGTTCTCAGCTGTAATGTGTAAAGTGAAAAGAAAATGTAAGAAGTCAGAGAGACTTCCCCGATCAACATAATAAAAGCTGAGAAGGGAGAGAATCGGAAAAGTGGTACGGGGTGGGTGTCTGGGATAGTTTAGAGTTTTGTTGAATGAGAGGTGTTAGATACTCTGGAGTGCTGTAAGGTAGAAAAGGGGGAAAGGAGCTTGGAGAACTGATACACTGACTTGTGGTTGGGTTTACATCAGGAAACAAGTGAAGTTTGAAAATTATTTAGTTTGGCTGTTGTACCTTGCTTTTTTTTTTTTTTTTTTTTTTTTGGTCTTTTTGTTTTTTTCCTCTTTGTGGAGAACGGGATCTCGATGTATCACCCAGGCAGGTCTCAAACTCCTGGGCTCAAGCTATCCTCCCGCCTCTGCCTCCGTAAGAGCTGGGATTACAGGTGTGAGCCACAGTGCCAGACCATACCATGCATTTTTAAATTGAATCTCTGAATAGACTGGACTACATGAGGCTTAGGATTTATTTGCATTTCAGAGGCAAACTATCTTCTCTGTCCCTTTTATCTGATTAATTAGAAATGTAATCTTATCATAGCAACTGCTTTAGGAAGCGACTGAATTCGTTGGTCATATCAGGGTCTTAATAAATGTTATTCTGATAACAGAACTACTGTAACTATTTGGAAGTTATCACAATATTCAATTTTCCTTTAAATGCATTTGCTGGCCGGGCACGGTGGCTCAAGTCTGTAGTCCCAGCACTTTGGGAGGCCAAGACAGGTGGATCACGAGGTCAAGAGATCGAGACCATCCTGGTCAACATGGTGAAACCCCGTCTCTACTAAAAATACAAAAAATTAGCTGGGCATGGTGGTGCGTGCCTGTAATCCCAGCTACTCAGGAGGCTGAGGGAGGAGAATTGCCTGAACCCAGGAGGCGGGGGTTGCGGTGAGCTGAGATTGCGCCAAGCTGAGATTGCGCCATTGCACTCCAGCCTGGGTAACAAGAGCGAAACTCCATCTCAAAAAAATAAAAATAAATAAATAAATAAAATAAATGCATTTGCTGTAATAAGATTTGAAGGTATTAGATTTTCTAGAACCATACCTTTGTATCTGAAGAATTTACTGAAGAATTTGAAAATCAGCTCTTTTTTTAATACATGTTTAGAAACAGCAAGTTTTAGAAAGCAAAACAAAGCAACAATGAAAAAACAGTAACAACTCCAGAAAGAACGCACACACACACACACACACGCACACACAAAATGCAGACTTTAAACTTAATCACACACAAGAAAAATCTCTGAAACCAGGCTTTATAGACCCCCAACAAGCCTCATCAATGGACCCCATGTAGGAAAAACATAGCTCTAAAGATTACTCATTGGTATCTTATTTTTAAATATAATTTTGTTCCGTGTATATTTTCTTCCACAACCCACTGAAGATTGTTGGATTCCTGATGGAGGCATACCTTTTATTTCCTTAGTATTTCTCACACGTATATAAAGTACTTTGCAGGCAGCACGGATTCAGTAACTATTTTTGTTTGGTGAATTGTCAGTAGGTAGTAAGGAATAGTCCTTAGGTGACCATTCTCAAATCTCTGGGCCCTGTGGATAGTGATCTAAGGCTCAGTTCTGGGACCAGACCTTTCTATAGGCTAACTGATGCTTGCGAACCCAGGAGTGTCAAAAGAACAAATGCCATATTGCAGTAGGGCCCCAGGTCCTGAGATGAATCCCTTCCAGAAAGGCCCTTTCTTAATAATCAAATGACAGAAAATCCATTTGTGTTTTTTCTTTCATACTTTATTATTTGTGTACTTTAGGCATTTTTCCGGTCCTGGGTAATGTATCTTTCAAACTAGCTTTAGAAATTATAATAGCGATACATGCTTATAAGTAAAATGTTCATGCCATACAGAAAATATAAAATGAAAAGCAAAAGAATTCCCTCTTCTTCACACCCCTTTCACACTTTTCAGAAATAACCACTGTTAATACTTCTTGTGATATTTAAATATTTGCTACACAAATACATGTAAATATATATATGTATGTCTCACTGGTTTGTTAGAACTCTTTCTATATTAAAGGAATAACTATTTTATTAAATGGATGAAAAATAAGCTTTCACAGCTTGGTGTTTGAAGATTTTCATTTTAAATATTTGAGCTTAACGTTTTTCTTTTATGGGCTTGTGGATATTATATGTCTTTACGCTGAAGAACAACTTTTTTAACATCAAGATAAAACAATGCCTTATTCAGAATTTTTTATTTATTTCCAGCCACCAAAATTCGTCAAAGAGTAAGAGAAAAGAGGAAATTATTTTTTTTAAAAAACTCTCGGCCGGGCACAATAGCTCATGCCTGTAATCTCAGCACTTTGGGAGGCCAAGACAGGCAGATCACTTGAGGTCAGGAATTCAAGACCAGCCTGGCCAACATGACAAAACCCTGTCTCTGCTAAAAATACAAAAATTACCTGGGTGTGGTGGTGCATGCCTATAATCCCAGCTACTAGGGAGGATGAGGCACAAGAATTGCTTGAACCCGGGAGGCAGAGGTTGTAGTGAGCCGAGATAGCACCAGTGCACTCCAGCCTGGGCGACAGAGTGAGGACTCTATGTCAAAATAAACAAACCCTCAGTGCTCTGGGAAATCGCTTAAACAATTTTTTTATTGCATTGTTATTAGTAGCTGATTTATTAGTGAAAATAGTTACGAACAACAACATTTCCTAGGAAAGTGTCAGTAGTGGGCACATTACTAGGAAGTAAATTTGGAACGAATAGGACCATACTAAAGAGCTAGAAGACAGCACACTTCTTGAATCCAAGCTACCCACCTCATAACTTGAGTGTTACCTAATCTCTCTGTGCCTTAGTTTTTCATCTCTTTAAAAAATCATAATAGTGCCTACCTCCTAGGGTTGTTATAAGCACTAAAATAAGTTATATGCATAAAGGCTTAGAAAAGTGTAGGACAGTGGCAAACAATAATATAGTCGCTCCCTTTATCACCACTCATGAAACAATCACACTATCATGGAAGGAAACGAGACATAGAGAGTGGACAATTTAAATTCAAGTCTAAAGCAATACATCAGAAATTCAAAATAATATCCTAAAATCATAATACATAACTGCTGAAAGGCCAAAAAATGATTTGCTTTGGGTAGGATTGGTTAAGAGAAGTATAACTTTTTAATGTGAAAATAATTTCAAACTTAGAGAAAATTTGCAAGAATAATATGAAAAAAACCCACATATTCCTTTTTTTTTTTTTTTGAGTCAGAGTCTCCCTCTGTTGCCCAGCCTGGAGTGCAGTGGCACAATCTCAGCTCACTGCAACCTCCACCTCCTAGGTTCAAGTGATTCTCCTGCCTCAGCCTCCCAAGTTGCTGGGACTACAGGTACGTGCCATATGCCCAGCTAATTTTTGTATTTTTGGTAGAGATGGGGTTTCATCATATTGGCCAGGCTGGTCTCAAACTCCTGACCTTGTGATCCACCCACCTCAGCCTCCCAAAGTGCTGGGATTACAGGTGTGAGCCACGACGCCCAGTCACTTATTCCTTTTATACAGAGTCACGAATTGTTAATGTTTTGTTTTATTAGCTTTATTATATTTTCTCTGTCTTTGTCTCTCTGTATATAGATAAATATATATATAATTATTTTGCACCATTAGAAGTTATACACACTCTACCACTTTACCCCTATATGCCTCAATGTGTATTTCTTAAGAACAAAGTCATTCTCTTAGATAACTCCAGAATAGTCACCAACTTCAGAATATCTATTATTAGTACTTTTATTTAATCTACTCTCTATACAGTAGATATTCTTCAGAATATCTATTATTAATACTTTTATTTAATCTACTCTCAATTTTGTCAATTGACCCAATAATGTTATTTGTAAGCATTTTTTCCTTCTGTATAAGATCCAGTATGGGATCGCAAATTGCATTTAGTTGGGAAATATAACTCAATTTCCAAATATCAGAATAATTTCATGGAAATTCCTTTGTAATTAATCTAATCTATCTTTGTCAGTTAAGTTAGTATCTGATATTTGAACTAAACTTCCTATAGATTTAAAGCTAATATCTGTGTCCATGTTAAATTGATGTGCTCGATACCAAAATCATCTTTTATTCTGTAGGTCACTTAGAAAATTGGAAGTGTACCATGGAACTTCATAGTAGAGTCTCTGGGAGCAGACAAGAAGCATCATCTTAAAACCGCAGTTCCTGCCAGTACATTTTTCTTTACAACTAGTTTTTGATACAGCTGCATTGAAGTGTTATTTTTGATGTTGAGCTTTTTTCTTTTAGAAGCATATTGCATGGCTACATTTTGTTTAAAAAATCTATGATCTTATGCTACTTCACTGTGACTGGAAGACTGTTGAGAATTCAGAGAGTATATAGCATTTCTGTGACGGAGCAAGATGGCTCTGTGGCACATTTTACAAACATATGGCACTGAACATTGCACAGTGTTGGAGAAGGAAGCAGTTTTCCGAAGAGTTAATCCAAAATAAAATTAATCTGTCATTGATTGCCTTTACTGTGTTCTCATATGAAAATATTGTTAAATCATTTCAATAAAGCATTAAAAGAAAAATGACTACAGGCTCTCTCTCAGTAGACTATAATGACTACTAGGAGGGAAAATATTCTAGTCTTTTAGTACCTTTCCAAAATGCTGATTAGGCACATAACTTAGCCTGTCAATGTATGTAATAACAACTTGAGCTCATGAATATCAGTATGCATGATACATTTCTTAAGGTTTGGTGTGCCATCTGTCTATAGAACAGTCTTCATCAGCATGTGCAGAAACATAGGCAGGGGTTGTAGACTTTCTTTTTTCTTTGAGACAGACTCTCGCTCTGTCACCAGGCTGGAGTGAAGTGGCGCAGTCTTGGCTCATTGCAACCTTCACCTCCCGGGTTCAGGAGATTCTCCTGCCTCAGCCTCCTGCATAGCTAGGACTATAGGTGTGTGCCACCACACCCAGCTAATTTTTGTATTTTTAATAGAGACAGGGTTTCACCATGTTGGCCAGAATGGTCTCCATCTCTTGACCTCATGATCTGCCTGCCTCAGCCTCCCAAAGTGCTAGGATTGCAGGCGTGAGCCACCACGCCCGGGCATGGTTTGTAGACTTTCTGAAAATGGTGGTGTATTCTCACATGGGGTTGTGGCTGGGAGACCAATGCAACCTTTTCCACACTGGGTTTGATTATGGTTGTAAGTAAGATTTACCAGTAGGCCTGCAGATAATTAGTGGGGACACAAAGGGAATACGACTTGTGATCCCTGCATGCACTGCCAGGTGTCTAACTTCATAGGACTTTACCCAGTTTTCTTTTGTCTAGCTCTGCTAGTAATGAGGAAACATTTTTTCCTTGGTAGCTATTGCTGTCTCTCCTTTTACCACCTGCACATTTGCCTTACATACTGCCTGAGGATTTTCACAAGTGACATTGTGAATGTGTTTGCTAGCTGGGATCAAATACCCTTTTAGAATCCCTCTGTGGGTCTAAAGCACAAAGGTGCTTAATTTCATCTTGCTACATACATGTGGAATAACAAAAGACAGTCTGGGGTTTGGAGTCACCCTCCACCCTTGCACATCTGAGGAGTGCTTCTAAATCAATAGGTTGGCAGCAATAGAGAATTCTCTTAGGCAGTCACTTGTATTCAATGAACCAGTGACACTATTGAAAGGAAAAACACAGGCAAATCATCATGCTAATTTTAAAAAACAAAAGCAATGCTAGAAGGAGGGAGGCAGGGGGAGATGGAAGGGGAGTGGAAGGATCCTGTGGATGCTTCTACTCTTTCACCCTTTCATAGACTCTCAGGGTATCTTTTTACTTTAAGCTCAAGTAGTGTTTAATCTCTAGGCAAAATATACCTATTTCAAGTATTTACTGATTTTCACCATCATACATTTAAAAATTGATTTTATTATATTTTCATGTCATGAAATTGTTATATTTATAATAGTTTTTTGTTGTTGTTGTTTGTTTGTTTGTTTGTTTGTTTGTTTGTTTGTTTTTTGCTGTCTGGCTGAAGATGGCAGATATAATAGAAATTAAGGAAATAGCAACAGCAGCCAGGCATGGTAGCTCACGCCTGTAATCCAAGCACTTTGGAGGCCAAGGCAGGCCGATCACCTGAGGTCGGGAGTTTGAGACCAGCCTGACCAACATGGTGAAACTCCATCTTTAAAAAAAAGAGAATAGCAACAAAAAACAAAATATAAAAACACAAAGCTAAGATCTATAATCTTGGCATTCATTGACTACCGTGATGGATATGTTGGTATAGTACACACTACTAATCTTATGTTTTCCCTACATAAATATATGCAAAATATTTTTATCAAAACCATGTCATACTGATGAAGTCATTTAAGAAATATAACTGTCTTTCAATTAGAGGATTTTCTGTTTGAGATTTTTTTTTGTTGCCTCTTCACACTTCAAGTCCTTCTGGAACACACATACTTCTCCTAAGTGGCCTTGGATGGAACCACCAACCTCCATCTCAGCAGTTTCCGCAGGCAAACACTGCAGAATGCTAGGCATGTAATGTATTTCTAGTGAGCTGCATGGGATGAGAAGTGCACCCTTTGTCTCCAAGGTCATAATGGCTCTGCTGACTTTAATACCTTTCACTAGAGCTAGTGAGGACGACTGGAAAATGCCAGAGAGAGAGCATGAGAGAGCCCCCTGCCCCATGATCTCAAACGAAAAAAAAAAAAAAGAGAACACAGAAATCCCCCTATGCACTACCCCCCGGTCCCTTTTGTGTTGTTTTTGCCAACACAGCAGCTTTCCTGCTATATATACCAGCTGTCCCTTTGTCCCCATCATACTAGATGCTAATCACCGGCTGTCAACAACCATGGGGAAGGTGAGCCTGTGGAGGTGCTGTGCCATGTCTATTGGGGGTGTGGCATGTGGGGATGTTCCTTCCAGCACTATCTACTGTCACTTTGTTTCTACCTCAGATCACCTTCTACGAGGACCGAGACTTTCAGGGCCGCTGCTACAATTGCATCGGTGACTGCCCCAACCTGCGGGTCTACTTCAGCCGCTGCAACTCTATCCGAGTGGACAGTGGCTGCTGGATGATCTATGAGCGCCCCAATTACCAGGGCCACCAGTACTTCCTGCGCCGAGGCGAGTACCCCGACTATCAGCACTGGATGGGCCTCAGTGACTCGGTCCGATCCTGCCGTATAATTCCTGATGTGAGTCTTGCTTCAACCTGACTGAGGTGAAAGAATCAATGATCCATGGCCATCAATTCCTGTTTATAAAAGGCAGTTAGTTCCAAATCAGGATGAGTATTCACAGTAAGAATAGCAGACCTGACCCTCAAACATTAAAAAAAAGGAAAGTTACAAGAATCTCTATTTTTCTTACTTAAGGACATCAATAATTGTTTCAGGGCATGAGAAATCACGACAGCCTTTAAATTAAACTTGGTAACATCTAGGTGGTCCCTAACTTCTACATAAAAGTCACCTTACTCAGTAGTAAAAAAAAAAAAAAATCTGTCTAGTTTATCTAGATAGTTATTGTTATTATTATTTATGAAATGGAGTCTTGCTCTGTCACCAGGCTGGAGTTCAGTGGCTCGATTTCTGCTCACTGCAACCTCCACCTCCCAGGTTCAAGTGATTCTCCTGCCTCAGCATCCAGAGGGAGCAGCTGGGACTACAGGCATGCACCGCCGCGCCTAGATTATTTTTCTATTTTGAGTAGAGATGGAGTTTCACCGTATTGGCCAGGCTGGTCTCAAACTCCTGACCTCATGATCCACCCGCCTCAGCCTCTCAAAGTGCTGAGATTACAGGCCTGAGGCATGGCGAATGGCTAGATGATTACTTTTTAACTATTAAAAAAAAACTTAACAGACTGTGGAAGAACAATATAGGTATAATGTATTCTGACTGCATTGGGAATTTTTTCACTACATTCTAGGACATACTAGAACCTAGGAAAATATGTTTCAATTTGTGTGGATTTATAATTTCCAGAAGTCATTATCAACTAGTTTCTTACAAATATCAGAGACAGACAATTAACTAGGATTTCATAGAACATGGTCCTCCCCAAAGTGTTGCTTAACGTTTTTTAATAACTTGCAACGTGTGTTTACACTGATGGCACTAAATTATGTGGTGTGACAAGGAGATTCAAGAATTGAAATCACAGCCAGGCTCGGTGACTCACACCCATAATCCCAGCACTTTGAGAGGCCGAGCTGGGCAGATCACTTGAGGTCAAGAGTTCAAGACCAGCCTGGCCAACATGGTGAAACCCTGTCTCTGACAAAAATACAACAAAATTATCCAGGCATTGTAGTGTGTGCCTGTAGTCCCGGCTAAGTGGGAGGCTGAGACAAGAATTGCTTGAACCTGGGAGGTGGAGGTTGCAGTGAGCTGAGACTGTGCCACTGAAGTCCAGCCTGGGTGATAGAGCGAGACTTCATCTCATAAAAAAGAAAAAAAAAAAAAAACGAATTTAGGCTAGAAAAATTTGCAGATGCACAAAGATATAAATAAAATAGGCATTTCTTTGGAGCAAGAAACTCAAATGGCACAAATGACTTGTCAAAATGTCACTTGAAAAGACATGTGGGGCCAGATGGGGTGACTCACGCCTGTAAACCCAGCACTTTGGGAAGCTGAGGCAGGCAGATCGCCTGAGGTCAGAAGTTCGAGACCAGCCTGACCAACATGGAGAAACCCTGTCTCTACTAAAAATACAAAAGTAGCTGTAATCATAGCTACTTGGGAGGCTGAGACAGGAGACTCGCTTGAACCTGTGAAGCAGAGGTTCCAGTGAGCCGAGATTTCACCATTGCACTCCAGCCTGGGCAACAAGAGCAAAACTCAGTCTCAGAAAAAAGAAAAAGAAAAAAAGAAGGCCAGGTGCAGTGGCTCACGCCTGTAATCCTAGCACTTTGGGAGGCCGAGGTGGGTGGATCACCTGAGGTCAGTAGTTCAAGACCAGCCTGGCCGTCAGGGTGAAACCCCATCTTATTTTAAAAAAGAAAAGAAAAAAAAAGACCTGTGGACTCAGTGTAAATATAAATCACTGTAAATTGTAACTGCAAAAAGTGACTTAAAGCAAGCTTGCCAAGACTCAATTGTATGAAGTCAAAATGGAAACAAGAGTTGAAATCCTCTCTACAGACTTATTGACCTCAATTGTGATGATGGTTGCTTACAAAGAACACACTTTAATTCCCTGTATTTTAATGTTTGCTTCTTCCACAACATCTCCAGTTTATTGATTAGGTCAGATTTATTTTAACAGTTTTCCTAATTTTTTAGAATAACAACATAGAAAGTGGGATTGGGGAGAAACACTTTATTAACTGGTTTAAAAACCATGTTTCAACCAGGTACAGTGGCTCACACCTATAATGGCAACACTTTGGGAGGCCAAGGTGAGAGGATCACTTGAGCCCAGGGATTCAAGACCAGCCTGGGCAACATAGTGAGACTCCATCTCTACAAAAAATTTTTAAAATAAATTGGCCAGGTGCAGTGGTGCACACCTGTGATCCCAGCTACTTGGGAGGCTGAGGTGTGGAGGA